AAGAGAAATAAAGATAGGGGACGGAGAGAGACGCATGGGGAGACAGAGGGAAAGAGACTTGGGAGAGAAAGGGGAGGGAGAGAGAGAGAGGGAGAGAGAGAGAGAGAGAGAGAGAGAGACAGACAGACAGACAGACAGACAGACAGACAGACAGACAGACAGACAGACAGACAGACAGAGAGGGAGACAGAAAGAGACAGAGAGAGAGACAGAGAGAGACAGAGAGGGATTGACTGAGAGAGAGATAGACTGACAGAAAGAGAGGGGGGCAGAGAAAGATAGAGAGAGAGAGGGGACGGAGAGAGGCACGGGGGAGATCAAGGGAAAGAAACATCATAGGCAAGCATGATACTTATTAAATTAAGCTGAAGGTGCAAATACACGACGTCAGCAGGAGGAAAACATGGGGGAGAAGGGGAGGGGGGCAACCGGGATTTAGTATAGGACCAATCCACAAATATTTCAAGCAAGAATAGGGATGCAATTACATGTATGTCCCTCTAATCTACTGAGCCAACGTCTTGTTGATGTTGGGAGCCTCTGTAATCCGATATTAAATGACATTAACCTTACGTTAGTTTGATATGTCGCAATCCGCTTGTCCAACTTGCCGACTCACTGTCGTACATCAAATCGATGTAATGCCGTCTGGGTATCTACCTCAACACGACATAAATCTACATAATGAATTAATGTACACATTTCTTTTGCACAGATGACGTTTGTGAAACAGAGGCACCCTGAACTCACCACAAGACACAAACGCACAAGGGAGTGATATATAATAATATACAGAGAGAGAGAGATGCAATAAATATCACGCTTCTTATTAATCCCCCCACCCCTCTTTTTTTCCTTTTTGGTAAGGGGGTACGGTTTACGTGTCGTGCTTAACAACATGTATGTGTGTACTTGGTGCGGTTTGCTCCTTCTTTCCTATTAAATTAAACATCTATCATCCTTATCTCTCCTTATTCTTTGTGTTCGTGTGTGTGTGTGTGTGTGTGTGTGTGTGTGTGTGTGTGTGTATGTGTGTGTGTTTGTTTGTTTGTTTGTTTGTTACTCTCTTGTAACATCTAAAATCTTTGTATATTACTAGCTGGCCCTCCTTTCGATGAAAGGAATGATTGGTGCATTATCATCAACAGAATATCATTGGCCAACTATTATTTTACACTGTACTGGAATGGAGCAATAAATCTTGAGAGAAAAGTGACACATGTGTTTCCAAGTTGCCAAATATATAATAGATGCATAAGTAATTCTCTATTCCGCTTTCGTGGTTGCACAGAAAAGTGTTGATTGTTCCCAAGAAAAAGAATTTGACACAGGAGTCCAGAAAAAGCGATGATGAGCATCAAACTGTCGATTCAAAAGAAAGGATCACAGTCGAATTTAGCACTAAGTAAAAAAGAAAGAAAACATGAGGCTAGATCTATACGGGTCGCACACTTAAAAGAGTGCTCAGTACTGCGCGACAATGCGCGATAGTATCGAACGGAAGTACGACTTGAAATAAACGAACCTGGCGGATTTTCTAAAATTACAACGACAGAAGGGTCGGCCTACAAAATCACTCGGCGAATTTAAAAAGTTTAGCTTTTTGCAGCAAACATGTCTCAAAACTGAAAAAAACGAAGGGCGTCATTATCTGGAGAATATTTTAAAGAATCTTTTGGCGAAAACGGCATGTCGATCGATGCAGCCATTAAAATGCCTTTTGAATAGCAAAATTCGGCCACCACAAATAGATAATAGATAGCATATATTATTATACTCTGTCACATTTTTAAGTAACACTGGGTTAAAATGAAAATAGCTAGTTTCACAATGAGTTGAAATTCTTTAAAATTTCAGAAATACGAATTCAATCAATTTTAAAAACGAAAGAAGCATCGGACTCAGAACCACGACGAGGCAACACGTATCTTGGACGGGGGCCCCCTGACAGACCCGACTCATCGGACCGCCAGGTAACTTTACATGGTGTCAGAAGTGGCTACTGAACAGCCAGCAACTTCAAGAAAACACCCAAATTCAATGAAGTGCTAGAGTTTATCTATCAAGAACAGTGCTCTGTGAGAGTAGAGATCTAGACTAGATCTAGAGTCTAGATCTAGATCTAGTTAGGTTTAGGCAGTTAACTGTTTGAAAACGGGAAGGATGTTAGATCTAGAAATCTACCTCTAAATCTGGTAGTTCTAGATTCTGGAGCTAGAAAAGGGGCTCTCGTGGCCTAGAGGTTAAGGTGTTGGCCTCTCATTCAAAAGGTCCAAGGTTCGAATCCGGGTAACGACCGAAAAATGTTCTTCTCTAACTTTGTCTCCTTTCACTTTGTTTCCTGCTCTCTAGCAATGTTCTGTCGTCTGCCTTCGTCTCCTTTTTCTGCCCCCCCCCCCCCCCTCACCTCCTTAAACTTTGCCCCTTCCTCGGGGCTCCTGATTCTTTCTGCAGCCTTTCTACTGCAAATCCTTCGCTTCTTCTTACTGCTGTCTTTCAGCCACACCCCTGATTTTCTGGTAGGAAAGATCTACACATAGCCATCTCGGACAAGGGCGAAAAATCTCGGAGGGCCCGTGTGCAAGTTGCGCACGTTAAAGATCCCTTGATGGTCTAAAATCGATAAGAGTAGGCTTCGGCCGCCACCGGGGCAAAATTCAAAATTTCCTACCAACTGAAAATATTAGGTGTGTCCCGCGCGCTCATATGACTTTATGCAGTTGCGAGCGCCGTAAAACACTTTACAAAAACAAACAGAAAACAGGAGCTAAAAACTAGAGATCTGGATAGAAGTAGAATATCTAGGTGTGGTAATAGGCCTGGATTAACTAGAATCTAGATGTTTTGAACTATGAACAATGTGGAGTTGGAACTGTGACTTGTTTGTTTGTTTGGGTCTGGAGATTCTAGATTTCTAGACTTAGTCTTTTTTTTGAGTAGATCTATTCTGGATTTCTAGTTCCACAAGTGAACAGAAACGGCACAACATAACAGGGAAAACCAACAGAAGCAATACACAGCCAACATACCCCTTCCTTCAAAATTAAACGTAACAGATGGCACAAACCTAGCACAAGGGTGGGAAAAGTTTAAGAGAAACTTAAAAAATTATGCGATCGCCATCAGATTTAAAAAGGAAGAAGACTTCCAATGCGCAGTGTTTCTAGCGACGATTGGAGAAGATGCTGTAGACATTTTCGAAGATTTCCACTTCGAGGACGAGGCAGATAAGAAAAACCTCCAAAGCGTCATACAAGCTTTTGACGACTTTTGCATAGGAAAGACAAATGAAGCCTACGAGGCTTACAAGTTTCACATGAGGAAACAATAACAAGACGA